TTCAATAATTCTTTTGGTGGTTTTAAATTACCAAAACTATCAAAATATTCACAATAACTGTTTATTATTGCATACGCTACCCAATGCGTTCCATTATTATTATGATTATCTAAATTAACGATTCCACATTCTATTGGTTTTGACTTATTTGGTAATCTATCTTTCATGTAAACTCCACGAAAATGTGGTATATTTCTAGAATATTTCATTAACTCTATATTAGATAAAGCTTTATTGGGTAGCTGGGAAATTAGTTTTTTGAACTTTTTATAAATAAACCACTGCCTTTTTTATACGGTTTGATGTAAAGACCTTTTCCCAATGCAATTGCTTCCATAGTTTTATTATGACGTTCGGATTCTTTTAAATTTTGTTGTGCAGTTTTGTATTCATTTACCGTTTTCGCAACACCTGCCGCACCTCCAGCTAATGCACCTAGAGCAGACAATCCCGCAAAAATGGGTATCAGAGGTAATATTCCTCCTGTCTTTGGAATCGGTATTATTCGCGGTAGACGAAAATGACAATTTTTGGGAAAACATTTTTTAGCAGCTTCATATGCATACTTAATTGCAGCTGTTTGGCTCTTTGGTTTCATTTTTTTTATTTGAGATTGAATTTTCGATACAATGGTCTTGAATTTTTTAACTCCAGAACCTGTTTTTACTTTAGCTTTCATAACCTTACTAACTAACCATGAAGCTAGTTTTTCACCTCTTCCAGCGTCTTTCGAATGCAATCGTCTTTTAGCCATGCTGAGTAGTTCCAAGTCTGCTTTATGTCTACTATTTGAATCGGTGTTTGTGTATGCAATATCATGAAATTTGCAGGCTTCGTCTAATTTATTGACTCCTTTATCACCTCTGGCTAATCTTTGTTTTAACTTTGTCCCTGGTCCACAATAGTTATATCCTGGTAAATGTAGTTCGAACGGTAAACTGTCAATTATACTATTGACTAGTCCTCCTCCTTGCATATCTGGATATGCAATGAGTACAACATATATTAATTAACTGTTATATTATGCAGTAATTGAACTGCGATCAATCCAACTGTTTTCACTATTAGGGAGACCTAACCACTTAACAAACAGTTTATTTCCGTTCTTTTTTATAACTTTTTCTATTAAATAAACATCGGGATGATTAGTTTTTTGTAACTCTTCCTGGTAAAACGTTCCTAATATTGGTTGACTCCTTTGATCTTGTAAATTAAATGTAACAGGATTAGTTTTATTGACCGATTTAATAGTAAATAATTCTGTTGACCAATTCGGTGTATAACCCTTTTCAAAACTGCTTTTGTATTTGCTTATTCTAACAAAGTCACCTTTTTGAAATTTATTTTTTTGCGATTTAATTCGTGTGTTAAAAAACTTATCAATGTTGTTTTTAACCTTTGCTTCATTTATCGAATTAACATTAACTGGTTTATGTTTAGTGACACTATGCTTGCTATTATTATAAGTATTCAAAACATCTTCTAAAGTCTTTCCTACCCACTTATAACTACCGTTATAGCTAAAAGATACATGCAATTTGTTCTTTAATGTTCTTATCAATCTTTCAACAATAGATGCTTTTTTTGTAGAGTAAGTTGAATAGTGGTTTATATTTAGTGACTGCATGAGTTCTTTAAACGATTTATTGTAAAATTCTGTTCCCATATCAGTTTGTAAGTGAACAGGAAATTGATTACTTGTTTTGAAAATTTTTTTAAACGCATTAACAACACATTTTCTAGATTTTGACTTTAAGGGAACACCCCATGCATATTTGCTGAAGCAATCAATAACAATTAAAATATATGTGTAACCACTGTTATATTTTTTTAAAGATTTAAAATCAATTAGATCTGCTTGCCATAGATCATTAATGCCTTTTAGTACAACAGATCTTCGAATAAAGTTTTTACGTGCAGACCTATGGATTTCTTTTACTACTTGGAGCTTGACCATTTTTTCTGTTGGTTACATTCTGTTCACTCGAGCTCTTAGTGTTAAACTTCTCTTCAAACTGTTTAATTTTGTTGGTGATATCAGCTTTTATTGATTCTATCCAAACATGCAGTTCATGCTTCGTGCACAAGGTTGCAATTTTTTCATCTACGTATTGTTTATTGACAGCGTCATCCTTTTCCAAAGGTGTGTTGACTCCAGTTAATCTAGATGATTGTAAATTAAAACACCCAGTTTCTGATTTCATTAAAGAGTTTTCCCTAAAATCTAACAGTTCAGACAAACGTAGCCTTTTGTGGACATGATGCCCGAATTTATCAATATTCATTTTTATTTATTGGAGATCCGATGCAATCAAGGGAGAGTGTGTAAATAAAAAACAACAAACTATGACAACTATTTTATAATTCCGTTTTCACGCAATTCTTCAATAATAGAAATTATTTCATTTTCTACTCCAGTATTTCCTGCATCTTTAGAAGCTATCAGTAACTTCAATCTTTCAACTAACTCATTAGGATCATCCCAATAAATGTAGTCAGTATATTTTTTAAATTTTTTCTTGAGTCTTAACCCTTCCCCTTCACTTAATTGTTCTGTTCTAGAAGAAACAGAAGATGTTGACGGTTTGCGCAATTTAAACAGTGGTTTGATTATTTACAAATACTTTCGACCTCGATTTGTTTTTATTGGTTTATTCGAATCATAATCTCTACGATGAGCATTTGTTTCTAACAATATTGCTTTATAAACTTGTGAATCTTTATCTGTAACCAAATTTAATTTTTTTTCTCTTCCAGAGTCAGTTGAGAGCAGACGTGTAGTTGTCAGCTCCTGTTATTCATAAATATTTTGTTACTAATTGCATACTTATTACATAGTACAGCAAGACTATTTTGGATTGCAGTTGTTTTTAAATCTAAATAATAGACCTCGCTTCCTTGCGCGCAGTGCATCTCTTTCTGTCGCCGCTGGTCTGTTCCGTGAATTGTCAACGCTGTGATATTGTGTGCGTGCGCAGTTGCCGTACTATATTTTCTTTTTCATACCTACCTGCGATGGAAAACTCTAGAAGCGGTAACTTAGCCAAAACTAATTCGTCCCCGGATATTTCCAAAATTGAAGATAATATTCAGATAAACAATCGCCGGAACACGAAAAGGAAAGTTAGAGAAGATAATAATACATTCTCCGGAGAAGAGGATTTGTCTTCATTATTCGAAAAGTACACCATCCAAATCACCAATAACCTAAGTATTTGGAAAAACGATCTGGACACAAAAATTACGGATATTCGTACTGATATCAACACCGTTATTAAGAGTGACCTCGAGAATATCAAGTTGGAATTAAAATTGGTTAATGACAAATACAATAACTTATACATGGACCATGAGAATCTCGTGCGACGTATCGACGACTATGAAAAAACTACAATGTCCCGCTTTAACGACATTTCCAACATGAAAGATCAACTATGTGGTCTACAAGCCGAACTTAATTTACAGCAGCAACGTGATCGATGCCAGAATATAGAAATTTCTGGCATTCCAGAGAAAAAGAATGAGGACATAAAAACCATAATCCTAAGCATCGCAGTCTTTGTGAACGTTCAAATTACTTCTCAGGATATTGAATATGTGACGAGAGTACAGCCGCGTACCAAAGTTCCTGGTCGTCCAAGGCTAATTGTAGCCAGATTACGGTCAAGATTGCTGAGGGATGCTATGATTTCGGGTACACGTTCGAAAAATGGTCTGACTACCAAAGACATCAACATTGCAGGTGATTCAAGGAGGATTTATATAAATGAGCACTTGACACCTTCTAACAAACTGCTGTTTGCAAAGACGAGGCAGAAGAAATCTGAAGCTAAATACCAATATATATGGGTTCGTGATGGCAAAATCTTCGTTCGCAAGGATGATTCTTCTCCAGCAATCTTCATAAAATCTAAATCTGATTTAAGCAAAATTGCATGACTTTATGTGTTTATTTCTGTGCCAATTAGTGATTTTTTCAATGATCCTATTAGATTTTTTATAGCAAGAAGTTATGTACATTGTTTAATTATTTCAGTATATAAAAGAAACCGATGTCAATATGCCATTATCAATTTATGTTTTGTTTGTGGTGTAAGAAACCGTGAGTTAAATACTTATATATCTAACATATTTATTTTATCATATGTATATTCTAATTATATACTCGTATTATTTGTTTATTTAATTATAACAGTCTATCTATTTTTATTTGTATTCTACAATACTATATATAAATATTACTTCATAATGTAT